ATTTTTGTGACTATCACTGTAAACCAGGCTACCAAAATCAGTTACACTGTTGCACTTTAATGACCCTAAATTTTATGTTGCCATGTATAATGTACTTATTACCTAACAACCCAAACCAGAAATGTAGTTGCTGCAAAGTAATTTTAATTTTCAACACTGAATTTTGTATCACAACATACACAGTAATGAAAAGAATGGTGGAATGAAGGCAAGGCCTTTGCAATCTGTGGACAAAGGGCATTTTATTTTGAGAAAGTAATCTAAACAGTCGCACGATAAGGGTTGAACAATTAAGTAAAAGTGGGAAAAGCAGAAAAGTGGTAGAAATTCAATTCAAAATGTAATATTTAGACAACTTTCAAACTTTTCAATGGTCTATGAACATAAAAAACTATTTGGAAAAATACAATTATGTCTATTTTCTTTTCTACCATCTTTCATTCTGCAAATCTGTTAACTAAACAAGTTCTACTAATGAAAATGATCATCATCTATCAGAATCATAAAAATGAATATTAAGACAATTAAAAATAAAAATTAAAAAAAAAAAAAAAAAAAAAAAAAAAAAAAAAAAAACTCACAGGCAAAACTATGAGCTTAGCTCCCTTTTCAGCAGCCTCCTCAATAGCGGTTCTAGCATGAGCAATGTTTCTTTCCTTATCCGCCGTTACAGACAATTGGCACAGACCAATCTTAAACTGCTCACCAGATACAGATTAACAATAAATAAATTCATTCATTCACAATAAAAATTTATAGTAAAAAAAAAAATTGCAATTCACAATTGAGAGAGGGACCTTAGTGACGGGAGGAGTGGGCAACTGGATAGCAGGAGGAACCCTAGCCTGTTCCGGTTTGAAAGAGGCGGCCATGGATGAAGCTGAAGCAGAAACAGCGAGGGTTATACCTATACGCGCAGGGCTGTGGAGCTTCGAGAATAGGCTGTTGTGAACACTGGTTGTAATAACTTTATAGAGTAGAAACGATGGATGACGTTGCAACAGCAATGGCGTAAATCTTACGGTGGCGCGCGGCACACAGGATCGTATGGAAGCTAGATTCACGGATGAAGACAAGAAGAAGAACCCCAAATTTGCTCTCATTTCTCACTTCATTTTCTCGCCACTGCCGCTGCAAAGCCAAAGGTATCCCAGGCTTCCAACTACCAACAAGCCTATACGTCCCGTGCCTCTCAAGACGACGTCGTTTTGGAATGCGCGGTAGGAAGTTGACATAATTATGTATATTTGTTTATATAATTATGTATATTTTTTATTATGTATATTTTTTATACAATTATGTACATCCGAATCAGGAAATTTTTGTGTATTATGTTAAGAGTTGATGTGTATTATGTTAAAAGTTTATGTTTATTATGTATTATGTTAGATTATGTGTATTATCTTTTAAAAAAGAGTGTGTATTTTGTTATATAATTATGTACATTCATGTATACAATTATGTGTATTCCAGGGTTGCAAAACTCTCGCCTAGGCACCGAGTAATCGGCGCCTAGGCGCTAAGCGCCCCTAGGCCGTGGCGATTTCCCGCCTAGGAGACTGGCCGCCTAGGCGCCCGCCTAGCGCCTAATTCGACCGCCTAGCGCCTAACTCGGCCGATTACACCGAGTTAACTCGTCAATTTCTGTCGAGTTAGCCGAATTAACCCGGCCAACTCGATCTTGCTAATTTTTTTCATTTATATATACCGCCCGACTAGCGCCTAGCGCCTATTGCAACCATGGTGTATTCTAGTATAACATTATGTACATTTTTGAACATGAGATTTTTTTTAAGGAAAATTAACTGCCAAACACTGGGTAGCGAAATTTCAAAAAAAAAAAATAAAAATAAAAACGACGTCGTTTTGCATCTGAGCGCACAATGCAACGCACGCCGTAGTGCAGGACATAAATTGCCGTCTATCTATCTATCTATCTTCTATCTACTATAAGAGCCAATACATACTCATCAACAAAAATAAGAGTCAATAAAGTGATAAAATACTCATCAACAAAAATAAGTCAATGAAGTGAAGTGATAAAATTAGGCCTATATCAGTAACTAAAAAGAATGTCAGTTCGCCAAGACCTTGTGGTTTAATGACATCTGTGTTGAATTTCCATATGTGAGGTTGTGAGTTCGAGCCTCAGTGAAGGCGTTATTGGCTCATTGTGCTTTATAGTCGTTATTATTTGATAAAATGACTCATTGTGCTTTATAGTCGTTATTATTTGATAAAATGACTTGTTCAGATTATTTTGATTTTAGTTTTTCTTTTTATAATTTTCCTTCTTTACCCTTTATTATATTATTTTCTCCCTTAAATAACTAGGTATTCCGTTTTTTAAAACAAAAATCAAGGGTAGATTTATAAAGGAACTGAAATAAAATCAGGATGAACAGAATCTCAGTATAGATTGTTAACTTGAGAATAGGTTGTTGTACCTAACGAATAAGCTAGAGAATTAGAATAATGACATATAAAATGATAGAGCAAATACTAAACAAAAACATAAGGTTCCTACATTCACTATTAATGATGCCAATATAAGACCTAAGATTAGCTAAAGAAAACGCCATGTTGTGGCAAAGATTGGAGTAGTCTGAATAGATGCACGTCGTAGACAAGCCTCAATCCTTTAGTCAAGTTAGAGCTTCTTTGCATGTCATGGTTTCAGCCAACGGTGGAGAAGAGCAATTCTGAAGAGGACCATTTGCTGCAACCATAAACCCACCTATCGGCAAGAGAAGGATATCACCAAAGGAGGCTTTGCCCGTCCATTGATTGAAGCATGCGTCCATGAAGCAAGTGGCTCCAGTCTATTAGGAACACTTTGTGTTAGATTTTAATGGATACCAAACTTAGGAGTTTAGACCCCCTAATCTTTCTATTTCCTAGACTTAGGATAAGTCAGCTCAACATCATCGGCAACCAAGGATCACCCCAAACAAAAGTGTTAGCCCCGTCACCAACCCTACGTCTCACTCCATTGCAAATCAGCCCATGGGCAGCCATAATACTCTTACAGAAACTAGGGCAGTTACCAAGAGTGTCATCAATAAAATAAGTCTTAGGGAAATACCTTGCCTTATAAACCTGTGCGGCTAAAGATTGTGGCTCGGTGAGAAAACAACAATCTTGCTTACCCAACATTCAAATTAAAAGCATGCAATTCCTTGAACCCCAAGCCACCAAATTTCTTAGGAACACACAAACGGTTCCAAGCCAACCAATGAATCCCTTTGCCATTGGAACCACCTAAACCCCACCAATAGCGATTCATAATGCGCTCCAGTGCCAAACATAAAGAATCTAGAAGCAAAAACACACTCATAGAAAATGTAGGCATTGCCTGAGCTACACTTTTGAGAAGAATTTCCTTACCTGCCTTCGTGAGTAACTTCTTATTCCAGGCACCAATTCTCTACTTAATCTTTTCCTCAATGTAAGAGAAAACAATTTGTTTATTCCTTCCTATGAAGGAAGGCAAACCTAAGTACTTACCAAAATTGTCCACCTTAGCCACACCAAGAAGGCCTGCAACAAGATCATGTGTGTCCTCTATGGTATTTCTACTAAAGCAGATGTTGGATTTATGGAAGTTAACTGCTTGGCCAGACAGACTTTCATATGTGTGAAGGCAATGCTTAATCACTTCGGCTTCTTGAACATTGGCTTTGAAAAATTGTAGGTTGTCATCTGCAAAAAAACAAATGTGAGATAGAAGGAGCACCTCTAGCTACCCTACAACCATGAATGGAGTTTATCCTCCGAGCTTGCTGCAATAACAGGGAAAGTCCCTCAGTACAAATAATAAAAAGATAGGGTGAAAGTGGATCCCCTCGTCTCAGTCCACGCGTGGAAATCACCTGGCCCCCACTGCTGCCATTAATCAGAATATTATAAGAAACAGTAGTAACATACTTCATTACCAAATTCACTCATTCCTGACTAAAAGCCCAATGCCACCATCATATTTCTCAAAAAAAAAAAAAAAAAAAAAAAAAAGTCACTACATTCTATCATAAGCTTTAGTCATGTCCAACTTCAAAGCCTCACACCCTACCTTACCCAGATGTTTCCTATTCAAATAATGCCATATCTCTCATGCGATAAGAATATTATCTGTAATGAGCCTGTTAAGAACAAACGCACTCTGCGACTCAGAAATCACATCACACAACAAAGGTTTCATCCTATTTGCAATCATCTTAGTCATAATCTTATACACCACGTTACACAGAGCTATTGGTCTTAGATCAAACACCACTTCATGATCCTTTTTCTTAGGGATTAGCACAATATTAGTATCATTGAGTCCATCAGGCCGTGATCCCGAGTTCAGACAATCCAAAACAAACCTCGTTACATCTTCACCTACCACATCCTAAAGTGCTGATAAAACTCCAGATTCATCCCATTAGGACTAGGAGCTTTATCAAGAAACATAAAAGAAAAGAGTTGCGTTGATCTCCTCCTTCTTAAAAGGGGATCCAAGCATACTATTTTGGCTTTGAGATAGACGGGGTGAAATAGATGAAAAAAAATCGGTACCAGTATCAGTAGGCACGCTAGCATCGAAAATATCCTCATAATAATTGGGTTAACAAATTCCCCTTCAACCCAATTTCCCACACAGTCCCTGAGCTGTAAAAGTTTTTTTTTTTTTTCGTTTACGGGCAGAGGCATACCTGTGTGATAAAAGTGTGTGTTGGCATCAGCACCCTACAGCCAATGCTACTTAGCACGTTGCTTCCAAAAGGCATCCTCCTGAGCCTCAAGACAAGACAACTCCGTCTCTAACCTGCGAAATTCAGACAAAGAAAAGGGATCAGTGTGCCCACGCCACTTCATCAGCTCTCTACGCAGGCTCCCAATTCTTTTGCCAAACTTATGAAGCTGATCCTTTCCCCAACTCATCAGTCTATCACCACAGCCCCGTACACAATCCATCAGACCATTATCCCGCCCTTCAGACCAAGCATTCTCTAAAATACCACGACACTCCTCATCCAAAAACCATGCCATCTTAAAACAAAACTTACGACTACCTCTACCGCATCGGCTCCCTAACTCTTAAATGTCAAGGAAAATAGCTAAGTGATCCGATGTTCTAGTGAGGATATTCAGTACATTTGCAACTTCTTCCTACACCACTCTCCATTAGCTACCACTCTATCCAATCTCTCCTCCATCCAAGCCTCCATGTCTCTACCCTTTCCCAAGTGAAAGGATACCCCCCTCAGTCAGGACTTGCAACAAGCCACAGTCATCTAAAGCTTCTCCAAACCCACGAAGGAGGCCCTCAGGTTGTGGAATAGGCCCCGGTTTCTCATGCTTATATACAAGATCATTAAAATCCCCTATAACCATCCATGGTAGCGAAGAACGAGGACCGAGGTTCCTAATTAGTTCCCACAAGTCCCCAAGTCTTCTACGCTCTAGGAAGCTATAAAAGTAAGTCATCCTCTATGGAAGGTAGCCAGAGATGTTTACCACTACATTCACATGATTTTTAGAGAAGCTTAAAAGACTAGTTTATTATTCCTCCTCCATAATAGTGCAAACCACCGCTTAATCATGTCATATCATTCTATCAACATAAACCAAACCTTCAAAACCAATCTTAACCCTTAACCGCTCTACATGTTCCCTTCCTACTTTAGTTTCTATTAGAAAGACGAAATCTGGCATCTTACTAGACATAAAGTCCACCACTTCACAAACTGTACGTGGATTGTGTCAGATATGAAGAGTCTATGTATGTGAAGAGTCATAGGTATATGAAGAGTCATAGGGATGTGAAGAGGCATGATAACAGTAGCCTAGCATGTATATATATGGCAGTGTGGTTGTGTAGTTAAAATGGAGAAGTAAGATAAATATATAGAGTTTTATTTCTTAACATGGTATCAGAGCCCGGTGGGCATTGATCGACGCAAGGAGACGACGCCACCGGAGGAAGTAGAGCAGTCAACGGAGCCTCCACGCGCCGCCGCTTACCGGAGCTCCGGTGACCACGCGCCGGCGCGTGAGGCCTTTCCTGGTGACCTTTCTGGCAGAAATTTGTCTCCCTCGTCTCGTCTTGATGAGCCCGTTCCATCATGGTGTCATTGGTGCTTGTCTTCATCACTTTCGCGACTTCGTCTCTCTCTCACTTTCGACGCAGCAGAAGCAATGGTTGGCGATGCTGTAGTACCACCAGCAGCGGCAACCGGCGGTGACCAACAGCAAAGATAGCGGCGACGAGCAAGGGTGGCCAGCGAGGCTTCCCAGCAGTGGTTGGTGATGGCCGGCGGCGGCTGGGGTTGTGAATGGTGAAGTGACGGTGTTGTTAATGTTGAAATGTTGAGGATGAAGGATGAAGCTGATAAGAGAATAATTGGCCAGTATGCTTTTAGGTTATTTGTGTCGTTTGCTTTATTTTGTGGGCTTATTATTAAGTTTAGTTTATATATTCTTTGGGCTATGGGTCATAGGATTAGTCTCATATTTCGGTATGAGTTGAGTCAGTGCAGCTTGTTCAATGTGTATCAATCTGGGGTGCTGCAGTGATGGGCAGCACGGGTGCCAGGAGGGATGCGGACCTGGCATATGCCATGGCAGTTATGGGAGGCCGATGGCTGAAGAAGAATTGGTTCGGGATGAACCAATTTGTGAGTATGCACCAGGAAAACACTGGAGTTGGGCAGCGCTAATAATAGTTTGTGGTAGGGCTGGGCAAATCGGTTCGGATTACCCGAACCGAACCGAACCGGTTCGGTTTGGTTTGGTTTCTACCCGAAAGACCGATCGGTCCTAGTTTAGGTGAAACCGATCGGTTCGGTTCGGTTAAAAACCGAACCGATAACCCGATCGGTTTTCTGTTTTTTTTTTTTTAATATATTAATAGATATATATTATATTAAATGTTTAAGGTGAGGTTTAAACCCTTACTCATTTGATTATAAACTAAGAGCTTTACCCACTAAACTATACCCACATTCATGTCTATATTCACATTTGTATGCTAATAACGGTATACATTTTTCATTAAATATTGCACACTTCAAATATAATGAATAAAATTATCCGTACTACATTCTTGTTAGACTAAAATACCATTATACCGTTATTACACCGTTGCTATTTAATTCTAAAGTTTCATAATTCTATCATTATTATCACACACACACACACACACACACACACACACACACACACACACACACACACACACACACACACACACACACACACATATATATATATATATATATATATATATATATATATATATATATATATATATATAATTAACTATGATACCTGTTTCCTATTCTTTAATTATCATTTTATTAAAATCATTATATAATTACTTTAATTGTTGATTATATTTTAATTAAATTTTTATGTATATAAATATTATAACAATTAATAATTTTAACTCCTCAAGTCCTCAAATCCCAACTCCAAGTTGTAAGTCCAAACATTTGGTGTTTTAGTAATTTTTATTTTTCAAATATTAACTATAGATGAATGATTTTTCATTTTGTCATCAACAAAACACTTCAAGTGGCACTTCAAGTGAGTCAACTGAACAACCGGTCAGGCAACAAAAGAAACGTTCAAATAGTAAACTTTCACCTAAACCGAACCGAATACCGAACCGAAACTGAAACCGAACCGAACCGAACTTTTCAAACCGAAACCGAACTCTATTTTAAACCGAATGGTTTAATTTTTTTAAAACCGAAAAACCGAAACCGAAACCGAAACCGAAAAAAACCGAACTGAAACTCGAAGTGCCCAGCCCTAGTTTGTGGTGTGAAAGGCAGGAGCACTGCAGTGTTAGGCAGTGTTGATAACGGTGTGGGGTGTGAGTGGCAGGTGCGCTGTGGTGTTTGGCCTGATTTTGGCTTCGTGGAAGCTTTGTTGGTGCAACAAGTTGAGTTGTGGACTGATTTGGCACAGCGTGGTTTGAAGATTGTTCAAGTGGTTCGAGACATGAGTGTTGGTCTCGAAGGTTATAACTTTAGATGTGAAGTCCTATGGCTCATGTGATATGTATGTAACAAGTTGGGCATGATTCTGTGCTCCAACTTGAGGGGGAGTGTTAGATATGAAGAGTCTATGTATGTGAAGAATCATAGGTATATGAAGAGTCATAGGGATGTGAAGAGGCATGATAACAGTAGCCTAGCATGTATATATATGGCAGTGTGGTTGTGTAGTTAAAATGGAGAAGTAAGAGAAATATATAGAGTTTTATTTCTTAACAGATTGCACAAGCCACGACTGTTCCAACTCAAGGTACTCATTGCGTCGAGCAGGTCTAGGAGCTAGAACTCGCAAAAACAAGTTTTTTTTTAGACATCGGACATCGCTACATCACTCCCACTCAGCCCACTGCCGAACTCAGCCGCGACTCCCTCCAACTCATGGCGTCATTTAAGCACAAGACTGTCTGTGAAGAATACCCAACTAAACAAGATGGGAATGTAATTTTTTGTACGCTCCCCCTAAATCGGATTGAATAGACTGAATTTTGCATGAAAAAGAATGTTCTACCATCACACGAAAATGCTCAAAAATAGCATACATATCGGACTTTTGACGCATAGGAAAGAACCAAGTAAAACGCGAAAAATCATCCACAAAAATTACGAAATAACGAGAACAATTGTTAGATAGCAAAGACGCAGGGCCCCAAAATCAATATATAATAATTCAAGAACACAAGAGCTAGAAGAACTAACACGAGAAAGAGAAAAACGAGACGACTTCCTCAATTGACATGTTAAACATACTGACTCACTAACACTAGACGAAGTAGTTGGACAAGAATTCCAAATATGACCCAGGACGCAACGATGGGGATGACCCAATCGGTTGTGCCAAACTGAAGGAGAAGCGTGAGTAGACAACAACAAGCAAATAGAGACCCCCTGAACTGCTCTCTTTAAACAGAACCTCCTTGGTAATGAGATCCTTCACAAAAAAAGCAAGTGGGGTGAAACTCAAAGAAAACGCGATTGTCAGTTGCAAATCGCTAGACACAACAAAGAGACAAATAACTCAGGAACAATCAAGACATCAGACAATTTAAAAGAATGAGACGAAGTGGAAAAAGATGCATGACCAACACTATTAATAGGCAAACCTAAATTGTTTCCAACACGCAACATGTCAGAACCTGTATATTCAGCAGGAGTAGACAACAAGGTGGAGTCTGGCGTAGCATAATTTGTAGCACCAGTGTCCGGGAGCCAGTTTTGAGACCTTATGGAAGAAGAATCCTCACTAGAATAAACCATATGAGCCTAAGGTCCAAAATTGGTAGAATATCTCTAGTGACAAGAAACAACAGTATGCCCATGACCACTACAAATCTGACATCGCGGTGTGTACGAACGAGAGTTACGACCTCGACCACAGCCACCTCGCTGCCAACGGCCACGACCTCCACGTGCAGCACCACCACAGCCAGACCTGCATCCACCACGTTGTACCACCATAGCTGCAGGAACTACCGAGGGACCAGCCAAGACACCTCTAACGCCATAATCATCTCCGCAGATAAACTCATTGGCAACCAAAAAGTTAGATAGCTCAGTCAGTGTCACCAGTTCGCCCTTTGCCGTCAAGGTCGCTACGAGAGGTCAGAACTCCGGACGAAACCCCCTGAATATATATAGGTTTTGATCATCTATATTAACAGGACGACCGGCCAAGGTTAAATCTTCTACCAAAACCTGTGCACAACCGAGATAATCCGCAACAGATTCATCGCCCTGACGGAGACCTTGAAGCTGACCGAGCAACCGGAGCGTACAAGCATGTGTCGTCGAGCCAAGAGCTTGTTCAATGGAGAACCAAACCTGGCAAGAGGTAGTCTTGTTGACGGCGAGGTACCTCGCCTCTTCTGAAAGTGAGGAAATCAGCATGGATAAAATAGTTTGGTCTTGCTAGAACCAAGCAGCCACGGAGAGAGTTGCAGAAGCCACCAACGCCGGAGAGGAGGTTGTAGAGGTCGCCACCGGCGACGGATCAGGGACGGTAGCAGACGAGCACAAAATGGTTCAATCAACAAAGCCTAACAAATTTTGGCATCTCAAGAATGGAACTAATTGAGTTCATCAGAACAAATTGTTACAAGCCGTTAATTTGATTGAAATAAAATGATGAGCTCTGGATAAGAGTTATTAGAAATCACAGGCAGCGAAACAACGGCAAATAGTCCGCTCAGAAAATACTCCGGCAGAATTGTCATTGTCACCGGCCATAAAAAAAATCTAGCGACTAATACCAGATGAGAACATGTTTCTAAATATTATTAAAAATAGGAACGTGCAAAACATATATACATCAAATAAAATGATGAGCACGGGATAAAGAGTTATTAGAAATCACACACACCGAAACAACGACATCAGAAACAGTCCGCTCAGAAGAAATTTCGGCAGAACTGTCATTGTCACCCGCCATAAGAAAAATCTAGCGACTGATACCAGATGAGAAACAGGTTTCTAAATATTATTGAGAATAGAAACGTACAAAACATATATACAAGACTAGAGTCCTATACTGAATATACAAGCCTAGAGTCCTACAGCAAACATAATACAAAGCAGTAGTAGATTCCTAATAATACCAACAAAGCATGCTTCACTGAGAATTCAATCTCCGGACATCTACCAACTGGTAAAGAATAATACAAACCAAGCATGGTTCACTGAGAATTCAATCTCTGGACATCTACCAACTGGTAAAGATCACCTCGCCTTTGCTTCTCCAATGGCAGATTTCTCCTGTATGTATGTATGTATAGCCCACATATCAGCAAATGGAAGAGGTTCAGAAAGTACGCAACAACACACAAAATCACAAAGGAAAGGGTATGTTGCATGCAACACAAAATCACCTCCTAAGTTCAATTTGTGAATAGTCAATCTCCGAGATGATTATTGCCTCATCATGCTCGGTGGTAGCCAGTATTTCCCCAAACTGCCAATCAATTTCACACAATTAATTAATTAATTAATTAATAATAAATGATAATTATACACTCTAATCCCTATAATGATAATTGTAGAAGGAAAGGATCAAATCCCTTCTTTATTCTCATCTTGTGGAGAGACTACATGGCTACTTGCGGAATGCAGTAAGCATACAATAGCTACTAACCAACAGATCAAAATGACCTTTCAAGAAAATAACACAAAAGGAATCAACTTACTGGTTCAACAAGTGTGGAATGGCCCCAAGCCACATATCCTGCACCAGCATCTCGAGCAGGTGAACATGTTGCTACAAACAGCTGCAAAAGATAATCATAAACGTATTGTCTATATGTGTTATGCCTCATAAGTGTAGTCATATATATGTATAAATATATCTTTCCCATTTATGCAGAGAGTTGAACATTTGTTTCTTGGGTTCTCCAATCAAGAGCCATTTTACATCAAATTTTCCCATGATGGTAAAATGAAGACGCATAAAAATGTTTATGAGATACCTGATTATCTACAGCCCTGCAATAGGAATTAAAAAAACAGTCAGCAAGAAAATATATGTAATACCACTGAGTAAAGGGGTTGTATGAATGGCATAAAACAACTAACAGCACAATAGATTATGCATTGCGAAACAAAGGTCTTGGCAATATGCAATAGTACAATTGCAATTAAGAGGGGAACATCTTGAAATGAAAAATGTCATATTTACCTTGCTCTCTGCAGTAACTCCCAGTGGAGTGGTCCAGAGGTCATGTTAAACGCACCAGGATAGCAGATCAAGTGAACACCTGATGATCAAATGTCACCCTTAGTTGGTTGGCAAGAAAAAAGAAGATAATGCACGAAAAAAAAAATAATAATAATAAATAAATAAAATAAAAAACACCAACCACTTATTGTCAACCAGAGTATTGTATTCAAGTTATATTGGGATGAAAAGTCAGAAAATTTAAGAGAAAAGGAGAAATTGGAGAAGACGGGCCAATAAATATATTTGCAGTAAAAGAAGTTTGCTTGTTAGAATATTTATTATACGGGAAGTAAGACAAAAGCAGTAGCATGTTATTGGACAAACTTATGCAAGAAAGTATGAACAGAGCACTTAAATGGTATTATGATAAACTTATGTGGAAAAATATAAGAAGTTTTCATACATATATATATATATATATATATATATATATATATATATATATATATATATATATATATATATATATATATATATATATATATTATAATAATAATAATAATAATAATAATAATAATAATAACAAGAGAAGTCCGTTGGTCATGGTATCAGAACATATATCTCAAAAACAAAAAATAAATAAATAAAAAGTTCACAGAATGATGAACTAGCTTTCTAAAACATAATGAAAGGCAGTTCGAATGATTAGCTATCACAAGGAGTTGAACTCTAAAAGTTAATATATTCTTGTTTTGGGTGAGTAGACCTACAGAAATTAAACACAGTGCAGTGTGTAACAAACAACCTGTTAATACTTCCTGCTAATATGAAACATTAAGGCCAATGGTAGAGGCATAGGAATATATGTGATATTACTAGAAACTATATGTTTGGTTATTAATAAAGCAAGTATGAGCATAATGGCTTTAAAGGAAAAGAACTGACCTCTTGCTGCATATAACATAGGTAGCTCCTGAAAGCACATATCATGACAAATGCCTATACCAATTCGTCCAACCTCTGCAAAATAGAATAATGAGAATTAAATAAAATTATCTTTCATACCTAAGGAGAATCTTTTTTGAGTAATAACAAGTTCAAATCTATAACTAAATAATGAAGTATGAGAATTACCTGTGTCCAAAATGGTAGGAATCTGCCCGGCAGTGAGGGTCTTAGATTCCATAAAAGTTATTTTACCAGGAATATCAATATCAAAGAGGTGTATCTGTAAACGAGAGATGTATTAGTTAGAATTTTGATTCAATCAAGTTTCACACAGTCCAAACTCCAAACACAGTTAAAGATAAATACAAACTTTGTTAAGGAGAGGAAAAGAGACGGAACTTACTAAGTCAAAACACAATAATTTGAAAATAATTTAAACTTCTATACCAACAGCATCCCCCAGCATA